TTTCTGTTACACGGAACGGAACTGTTGCAGCTTGCGCAAAACGAAAAAAGTTACACTAGCGGTGCACCAGCTTAAAATGACGTGCTTATCAGAGGCACGGAGGCTACTACATGCATTAGATGAACTGACAGAGGGACCAAACAGCCAAGCTTTATTTCACCAGAGAAACGCCTGTCCATAGTGTGGGACCATTTTGGGTACACCAAGAATGACCAGGGTGCCATTTAAATATTGCTGTAAAAAACTGCTGCTAAAGAGCGAATACATAAGGAATAATGCACGGCTAGCTGTACACTGAATGATTTTAATGCACGACGTGAAGATAAGAACCACCTGACGCGAAGCTACAGCTCGTTAGCTCCGCATTCTGCCTCCTTCAGATCAGAAAGAGATGAAATAGTGCAGTGTAAGAGCACATTTATTTGAATTAATTATAACATTTAGCTACATTAATTAATTATTCGAGAGAGAGAGAGGTGACAGTTGCCTGTGTGGATTAGGCTACCTGCGTCTGTGCATCTCTCCAGTAGGATATTAATCTATTTTATCAATAAAAGTTACGGGGCAGCATTCTCAAGAAGTTTGTGTCCTCTGAATGTTTGTACACGATCTCCGATCTCACAAACCAAAATAATAGACATGATTTTCTCAGGCCACATGTAAAATCATATGAATTATTATAAAGATTATTAAAATTAATAGGCTACGTATGGATGACACTTGATTACAATATTTCAGTTTATTTCCATCATTAGTAACAGTTTCCCCTGTGGGACAAATACAGTTAATATTAGCCGTATATTAATAATAGGCTACTTCATTAACTTTGTTATTTACTATCCCTGGTGTAGTATTATTCAGAAGTAAAAGCCAACAATATTTGTTTTCACCATGTTTCCAAAGTCTCTGCCCCAGGTCCAAAAGAAATGTACAGAATGTACAAACTGAAAACATTAAATACTTTAGCGATCTATTTCCATTTGTTATTTTCAGAAGAGAAATACTGTCGTGGATGTTTACAGAGCAGAGGTCACCTTTTTTAAATTCAAATGGACTTTTGTTTGTCTTTTGTTTATTATTATTTTGTGCTGTAGAAATAACACGTCAGTCTCTTCCTGGTAAGAGCTGTAAGAGGGTGGAGTTTATGATCAGGTGAGTGTGTTTAAACAAGTCAGACAGCAACATCAGCATTTCTGCAGGTAACATCTTAACAAAGTCTATTCAAAATGAACTTGCACTGAAACGTTCAAATAAACTGCTTTTTTAAATGTAAAAAAAGTACCTCTTTATTTTAGGGTCTCTTAACTAGTTGCTTATTAGCATGCATATTACTAGAATATGAGCCATTTATTAGTACAAATTAAGCACATATTAATGCCTTATTCTGCATGACCTTATTCTACATCCCTAATCCTACCAATACCTAAACTTAATAACTACCTTACTAACTATTAATAAGCAGCAAATTAGGAATTTATTGAGGGATTTATAATCTTTCTAAGGGAAGGCCTTTAATAAGTGTTCCCTATTCTAAATTGTTACCAAATAAATAAATATGCCAACCCTCATTCTGAAGCGCTCTCTAAAAAGACTTGTTTTTAAGGGGCGTGTCCTTTACAGCTTGTCAGTAATCGGCCACTGTTATGATTGGCTACCCTAATCAAACACACCTGAACAAGCTAGTTAAGGTCTTCAGAATTACTAGTTTTTGTTTTTTCAAGGTTGGAGCTAAACTCTTCAGGACAGTGGTACTCCAGGACCGACGTTGCCTATCCCTGCTATAGTAGCATCATATTAAAGCTAGAAAGCCTATGCACTTGGCAACTATATTTTTGAAATAAACCATTATATTTCATAATTAAAATACAGGGCTACAGACAGGGGAGTTTGAGGAACTCTGCAGGACATCGGCACTCCAGGACTGACGTTGCCTATCCCTGTACTATAGCAACAATTTAGGACAGTCCGTTTCACAAAGTCGCCTTTTAATTGTTTTTAAATTCGATGATATTATCACACATGGCATATGGATTAGCTATTTGGTCTCAGACAAATCAATCCATAATTAATCAGGCTAAATGTCTTTACAATAGAGCTTTGAAGATTTTAGATAGAAAGCAAATAAGATACCATCATTGTCAGATCCTAAGCAAATACAAGATTTTGAGCTTTGCTCACTTTTTTCATGATGTAAAGTTTGTGTTGAAATGTTTATAAATATTTAAAAAGACGTAGCATTCTCTATTCTTTTTCTATTCTATCTACTCGTTTTCTTTTTCTTTATTATAAAAACGAAACAAAACAAAAAACCCCTGGCTATGTGTACTGCGTTAGGCTAACCGAGACTGCTCACAGCACTTTCGTCTAATCTGGTCTTTTAATTGTCATGTCTATTTTGAATCTTTTTTTTACAATTTTGATGTAAAGCACTTTGTGCCGCTTGCTCTTGAAAGGTGCTCTAGAAATAAACATGACTTGCTTACTTGCTTATTATTGCTCTTTTATTGGTTTTGATTGCTTCTGTTGTCCTCGTTTGTAAGTCGCTTTGGATAAAAGCATCTGCTAAACGACTAAATGTTAATGTTTTGAAGTCTGATAAAGTACATTATAACACTGATCATTTCCAGCTTTTTCTACAGGCATTATTACAGTTCCTTCAGAGGTGACATGAAATGTTCAACAAAAGCTGAGTAGTATAGCAGGACATGTCTTCTCAATGGAACACGTTAAAACACACCGTTACTTTTCTGACTTCTTCACAAAGGTCATTAGGGCCTCTCATCAACATGACCAATTTGCAATTGAAGTATTTACTTTATTTTTCATCTTTTAACATAAGAAAATAAGGAAGAATGTTGTGTGAAACCTCTAGCTCAGAAAAAAGTACTTCATATCTGGATGTTTTGGGAATGTTCCTGGTTATACCTTGGTTTTCAACAACTCGGCCTTGAAGAAGTTGCGTATTCTCTGTGTGTGACCACCCTGCATAGAGTTTGGGTCACAAAAATATGAAATAATTTAGTTTTGTCTATTTCTATTGACATGTATACATAAGTTGAATGTGTTATAATGAGTTTGCACTGAACAGTCCAGCTGCATTTGACTAGTTCTGGTGGCAGTTGAGAGAGCAGAGTTACTGTGATATCCTCAGACAACAAAGAGAGGACCGTTGTATGTGCATTGTGTCTGAAAGGTGCTATATAAATGTGAACTATTAAACTTTGAGGCACAGTTTTTGTCTGAATTGTCTTATTAAAAAATTAATTAGTAATTTACACTAATTAATTTTAATCAGAAACAGGTGAATAAAGACTGACAGTCAATGCTTAATATTCAGAAATTATTATTTCAAGACATGTAAAGTATTTTTGCTGGTTTCTGTGGGCCGTCCCAAGCATGGTTGCAATGTGTTCATTGTCAAACTTCCAGGACTGACGTTGCCTATCCCTGTACTATAGCAACAATTTAGGACAGTCCGTTTCACAAAGTCGCCTTTTAATTGTTTTTAAATTCGATGATATTATCACACATGGCATATGGATTAGCTATTTGGTCTCAGACAAATCAATCCATAATTAATCAGGCTAAATGTCTTTACAATAGAGCTTTGAAGATTTTAGATAGAAAGCAAATAAGATACCATCATTGTCAGATCCTAAGCAAATACAAGATTTTGAGCTTTGCTCACTTTTTTCATGATGTAAAGTTTGTGTTGAAATGTTTATAAATATTTAAAAAGACGTAGCATTCTCTATTCTTTTTCTATTCTATCTACTCGTTTTCTTTTTCTTTATTATAAAAACGAAACAAAACAAAAAACCCCTGGCTATGTGTACTGCGTTAGGCTAACCGAGACTGCTCACAGCACTTTCGTCTAATCTGGTCTTTTAATTGTCATGTCTATTTTGAATCTTTTTTTTACAATTTTGATGTAAAGCACTTTGTGCCGCTTGCTCTTGAAAGGTGCTCTAGAAATAAACATGACTTGCTTACTTGCTTATTATTGCTCTTTTATTGGTTTTGATTGCTTCTGTTGTCCTCGTTTGTAAGTCGCTTTGGATAAAAGCATCTGCTAAACGACTAAATGTTAATGTTTTGAAGTCTGATAAAGTACATTATAACACTGATCATTTCCAGCTTTTTCTACAGGCATTATTACAGTTCCTTCAGAGGTGACATGAAATGTTCAACAAAAGCTGAGTAGTATAGCAGGACATGTCTTCTCAATGGAACACGTTAAAACACACCGTTACTTTTCTGACTTCTTCACAAAGGTCATTAGGGCCTCTCATCAACATGACCAATTTGCAATTGAAGTATTTACTTTATTTTTCATCTTTTAACATAAGAAAATAAGGAAGAATGTTGTGTGAAACCTCTAGCTCAGAAAAAAGTACTTCATATCTGGATGTTTTGGGAATGTTCCTGGTTATACCTTGGTTTTCAACAACTCGGCCTTGAAGAAGTTGCGTATTCTCTGTGTGTGACCACCCTGCATAGAGTTTGGGTCACAAAAATATGAAATAATTTAGTTTTGTCTATTTCTATTGACATGTATACATAAGTTGAATGTGTTATAATGAGTTTGCACTGAACAGTCCAGCTGCATTTGACTAGTTCTGGTGGCAGTTGAGAGAGCAGAGTTACTGTGATATCCTCAGACAACATCTGTATAAACGAACGTGATGACACGTGAGGTGACGAGTGACGTATGACGTATGCCATGATAGCCTGCTGCTTTTTGGATGTGCTCCAGTGAGTTTGGGAGAGGAGACATGATGTTTTGTACAAGTTACACACAAGCCTACTCCAGTCTAAGTGTGTTGGCACAGCTGATACGACGGTATCCGATGAATTCACGGCGATTAGACGCCTCGTCGTTCCCTGAGCACTCATCAGTGAGCCTGCGATCTGCTCAAACCTGCTCAGTGACTCCTTGCCTGCTCTGTACACACACACACACACACACACACACACACACAAACATGTTACGAGTGAAACTACCTCAGATGTGTTTCTTCTTGTCCTGCAGCTGTGAATCAGTGAAGAACGATGGCGTCTGATAAAGTGCTGCTTCTGAACTCACTGAAGGACCTGAGAGAAACTGAATTGAAGGAGTTTCAGTGGCACTTAAAGAATGATCATGAATCTATATCAGAGTCTGAAATGGAAAAAGCAGATCGATTAAAAACGGTGGATAAGATGGTGGAGTGTTTTGGGCCAGAAGAAGCTTTGAGGATCACAGTGAAGATCCTGAAGAAGATAAACCAGAACAATCTGGCTGTTGAGCTGGAGAACAAACACAAGCAAGGTAACAGGTGAAAATGAACAAGAAGTTAGTAAATGTGCTGTGAAAATAAAATAAACGTGAAACTAAAAAACAGATTTTTAGAAATAGAAACATGACAAAGGCCCAGTTGGACTGTTTTTCTAAAGCAGAGACATGTTTACAGTGTGATGGTTTACAGAAGAAATCATTTGTGGTTCTGTATTTTCATTCTGATCTCTTTCTCTCACACAGGTCAGGCTGAGGACAGAAGTGAGGATCCTGCTCCTGTTATAGCCGAATCAAAACCAACTGAGGGTAAATATTCAAGTCTAACCCCCATTCCTCTATATGTGAAACGTCGTGAAACAATCTGATGATATATACACAGAATCTGTAGAAATACTTTACACAAACACTGTACATGAGATACTGTGCAAACGGGATTTCAGGGCAAGCAGCCAGTGATGGGCAGTAGCGCTACTAGTTTAACTACATTTCTCAGTAGCATTGCTGTTTTCTCTATCAAATAGCTGTTCAGATACAGAATTGCTGATCAATTAGTGCCATAGCATCAAGAAAAGCTACATTTTCCGAAGCATTTCTGAAGTTCAAGCTCAGATTGGAAATATAAGTATCTCTGCTCCTGGATCAGTAAGTGACGCTACCAGCACTTCTCCTCGTAGCTCCACTGGCTCCTCAAACTCTCAGTCAGACCTCGTTACTCCTCCCGTTCTGACCAGCTCAGCTTGCTTGCTGCCTCGAGGAAAATGAAGAACTGTTAAGTACAGTGATTTATTTACTCAAGAAACACTATATTTAGAAAGGCTAATGTTTTTTTTGAGGAGCGGAGAAGAGTGTCTTAGCATTTGTTGTCGAGCCACAGACAATAGCTTGAGCGAAGTGCTTCATCTTTTATAACATTTTTTTATCATTTTCTCTCAACATGACAATCACACTGTTAATGTCTGTTGATTTCCACAGTCACTTTCCCCAACACTGATCCCAGGACCAGGAACTACTTCCTACAATGTAAGAAAACAAGCTGAGAAACGTCATGTTCGTCATGTAGAAGGAAGTAGGAACATTACAGAAGAGTTTCATGATTGATCATGTAAATTATGAATTGCACAGTGTATCTGGTAAACTGTACTGAGACACTGCTGATATATTGAACATGACGAGTTCAGCTACATTAACAGATCAGATTCATAATTCTTGATTCTTGTGTGTTTTCTCTCCATCAGATTCCCATCAGCTCACTTTGGATCTGAACACAGTGAACGAATACCTCCATCTGTCCGAGAACAACAGAGTGATTACTGGTGCAACCACAGAGCTTCAGTCGTATCCTGATCATCCAGACAGATTTGATCATTGGCGTCAGGTGTTGTGCAGAGAGAGTGTGTGTGGACGCGGTTACTGGGAGATTGAGAGGAGTGGAGATTATGTGTGTATATCAGTGTCATATAAGAGCATCAGCAGGAAGGGACGAGGTGATGAGTGTGAGTTTGGATCTAATGATCAGTCCTGGAGTTTGTTCTGCTGTCCTGACAAATACTCATTCAGACACAATAACACAGAGACGGATCTCCCTGTAAAGTCCCACAGCTGTCGTAGAATAGGAGTGTTTGTGGATCACAGTGCAGGAACTCTGTGCTTCTACAGCGTCTCTGACACAATGAGCCTCATCCACACAGTCCAGACCACATTCACTCAGCCGCTCTATCCTGGGTTCGCTGTTTATGGTTATAAATCATCAATGAAACTGTGTTGATGAATCAGAAGAGACTGACGAGAGATTCTACCCATAACGTTTTGATCTGCATGATAAATCAGTAACAGTGAGATGTTATAGAGTATCTCTCTTCTCGTCTCTTCATGACATTAATACTGCAGCTGAACCTCTGTCACTGAAATATCAGAATAAATGTGTGTAATGAATCCTCACATGTACAGTTAGATCAGAGCGTGTGACGGTGTGTATCTGTGCTTTTCTCAAGCTCTGTTTGTGTTGATGGCGATCCCATTGATTTATTTTTAGTGTAGTGTTACATAAATCATTTACATCCAAGTGTATTTTAGAGCTGCTACTGTAATGTATTTGTGCAGTTTTGTATATTATTATTTTTCTGCCTTATTCTTTTTCTATGTCTGAGCATCATAGAGATCTCAAGCTTGGAAATAAAAATAACCTTAGCAACTTTTTGTCCTGAGTTTTGACTGACAAGAGTTTAGGAGATATTGAACGGTAAGGGATGTGTTGATCTGTATCTGTTGAACCAAACCTAATGAATCCTGATTCACACGGATGACGGCTATAGGGGGCGCTGCAGCTGAAAAACACCTGTAACTCTGTTGGGCCTTCTTGATCAGCTGGGTGATGTTAAGTGTCCAGGTGAGGTCCTCGCTGATGTGGATGCCCAGATATTTAAAGCTGCTCACCCTCTCCACTTCAAGGTCCCGGATAAACAGTGGCCGATGAGTTCCCCTCTCCTTCCTCATGTCCACTATCATCGCCTTCGTCTTGTCCGTGTTGAGTGTGAGGTTGTTGTTTTCGCACCATGTCACCAGACTGGCTAGCTCCCTCCTGTAGGCCATTCCGTCCCCATTAGTGATGCGTCCTATCACTGCGGTGTCGTCTGCGAACTTCAGGATGGTATTGTTCTTGCTGGAGGTGACACAGTCGTGTGTGAAGAGTGTGTACAGTATAGAGCTGAGAACACATCCCTGTGGAGTGCCAGTGTTCATTATGGTGCTGGCTGAGGTCCTGTTTCCAATCCTGATAGACTGAGGATCTCGTTAGATACAGTGAAGACAGCGCGTTAGTTTAGATCTCTTCTATTATTATTATTGACTTTTGAGACTTTGGAGGCGGGGATCTAATGTCAGATGTCTCCGCTCCTGTGATTGGTCATTTTCAACACATTAAGTCGTAAGTCGTGACCTTAGGAATAGTTTTTTTTAATTCAATAATTAGTCATGTATAAACAACACGGCAACACCAATACCTATTTGCATTAGAATATAAAAGCAGGTATGAAACATAAGGAATAGTCTAGTCAATCAATTTACAATACAAATCCGTTTTTGACCATTATTTATTCATATCACACATTTAAGTCGATCTTTCAAAAACATAATTATAATAAGTTTTGGGATCATTCTTTTTTTCGGTAGTATTATAGCACACAATGAGCATATTTGAACCTTTTTGTGGCACATTTACTTTATATCTTCAAGACTTAAATCCTCGCATGCACATCACTGCCTATAGAATAAACACGTGATACATATGTGCACGATGTCACTGTTTTTACAAACAAAACAAAAAAGTTTATACAGACGGTAACGGGATCATTTTCAAAAACTTTCACTTTGAATTTTTTTTCTCAAAAGTTTGTTTAAATGATTAGCCAAAACGCATTTAAAAAAATTCTGTTTTTAGTTGAAAGCGGTGTCATGTAAACGTACCCTAAATGTACCTGATTATTCAACTAGTACTCCTAATAATGAATCATTTCAGATTTTGCTGTGTTTGCAACTGATAAGGCGTTTATGCAGATTCTGCAAACCAGCCACAGCAGAATAATGCCACAGTGGAGCAGAACATGGCAAGGTTTGACATATTCAATGTAATAGACTTTGACTGCATTTTTGTTCTTTTTCCAAAAATCGTTCGAAAATTAAAATTCTGTATGTATGGCTTAACATCGTTTGACTTTTAATGCATTTCTCTTACACAGTCTCATCTCTGATTTTACTCTGTTACAGGTCCTTCCCAGGATTATTTGGGGATCACATTTTGACTTAAAAAGAAAGCCATGTACTGTGAAGTGTCTCCCAATACAGTTTTACCTTGTAAATAAATATGTGGAGAAGACACCCAAAACCTCGGAAGAGCTAACCCTCCTGCAGGCAGGAATGGGTCGCAGAACCATCAGCATCGCAGAAGATGCTGACCATTCATGGGTGAGTTGAGTTGGTGTTGAAGTAGGTATATATCACTCTTGACTGAAAAAAAATGCTTTAAAAAAGAGAGAAATATTAGGAATATACACACACTCTTTTCTTTTAAAAATGTTAATGATACACAGTTGTCCAAGAAAATTGAGGAGGCGTATTCTAAATCGGCTGAGTTAAAAGCAGCATGGATGTTGTACAAGGCTGTTGGTAAGATTGAAGCTTACTATCTTTATCTGCTGCATTATGTTTGTTGTGTAATGGCAAATATGATTGACTTTCAGTACAAATATTAAATATTTTTCCTTGTAGGTGGTTCTGGACAAAGAGATGTGTGCATTGTGCCCCCTGAGTCAGAAGGGTACACAGGTGCTTACCTCAGCTCGATTGCACGTGGAAAGACAACCTCGTACATTGTACCAGTGCAAGGAACACTCGATACTTCCCCTCTTCCCTACTCAGCCAAGGAGTTTGCCAAAATGCCAAAAGCCACATGTCAAACATGTGGAGAAAACATGCCAGTACAGTTATTAGCAGCACATGTGGCATCTTGTGAAACCATGACACTGTCAACTGACTCAGATGAACAGGCAAGGACAATGTTACTTTGGAGTCTACATGAATACATTATAATTGTGTTGTCCTCTGGCTAATGTCTGTGTGTGTGTTGGTTGTTTTTTTTTTCTTGCAGACTGGAGATTTTCAAAGGTTTCCAGACAATGTGGACCCATCAACCAGTAATTCCATGGATGTTACAAACTCTCCAGATCACACTCTACCTGTTGGCACTTCTGTGACAGTAAGTCTATTAGAATTCCAGACTTATAAGTCAGACTTAAGTTCCAGTTTAGATCCTATTTACTATTATTCTTACTTTATACCTTTTAGACATATACTTTAATATAATTGATCTTACATTTAAAGGACTCCTCAGATTTAGATCTTCCTCCTTCTATAAACATTCCTGATGTCAAAGTAAGAGCAAAACCGTGCACATCTCCAGTGTCCTATTCTATCTATAGCACACCTGTACATACAATTTATTCTTTTTTTTGTGGTTTATATTTATGCATGTGTATTTTATTCACATTTTATTTTATTATCTGTGTGTTGTTGTTGTCTCCGTGTACTGGAAGCTTGTGACACTATAACAAATTCCTTGGATGTGCAAACATACCTGGCAATAAAGCTCTTTCTGATTCTGATCTCTTAGAATGAGCCTTATTGATTTTGGTGAGCGTGTGAACTTTACTTTAGCACTGACCTCAGGCTAAGGTTTAGTTTGATATAATATTAATTTAAATACAGTTTTAATGTATTTACTAATACTGGGTTACATTCTAGACAGCCTGTCCCATCTGTGAGCAGTTTTACCCCAGTGACTTTGTGGAGACCCATGCAAGCTTTTGTGGTGAAAGGTATTTCTTAGTTTTCCAATTCATTATGTATTATACAGTTGTTTTATGTTGTTATGCTGTTAAAGGTGAAACATGCTTTAGTCATACTGAAAGATGGGATGCTTTTAGTATGACTGAAGCATATTTCATGTATTCCCACAGAGCCAATGATATAACCGAAACCAACTTACTGAATGATATTGAAGAAACTGATGGAACAGACATATGTCCAAAACGATTTAAGGTACATCAAGAGATTGCAAGGTACTGTAACATTAAGCTTTCCTCAGAAAGTTGGATTTATTTGAGATCAATAATATAAAATGTTCTACACTATTATGTGTTCCTTTTTTCCCCCCTAATGTTATAAAGCATTGCTGATGTCATCAAAAGCCTTTCTGAAAGGATGGATGAAACCAGCATCTTCAGTATTTGCATTACCAGAGATCAAATGCTTGAGAGAGGCCTAAAACAATGGCAGCGACAGAAAAAATCTTCCCCCAAAAATCCTCTGAGTTTCTTTTATTGGAGAGGCTGGCATTGATAATGGCGCTTTGAGGAAGGAATTTTTATCTGGTATGTTTTTGTTTGTTTGTTTGTTTGTTTTTGATCATAAGAATACATTTTGTGTTCTATGAACTTATATAATTTTTATACATTCTTACAAATGTAGGCTGAATAGAACATGTCTTTTCATGGTTGATACTACGTATTTTATGCTTGATGGAACTGTTTCCATATTCTGAAAAGAAATGATGACGGGAATACAGAAGCGGTTCTTTGAGGGAGGAGAAAATGGCAAAATCCCCAAATATTCAATGACGGACATGGACAAACACAACTTCAAGTAGGTTTATTATGGTGTGTCACTTTTGTGTACCAAAATGAATGTAAACCATGCAAACATGCACACAGAACCTCACATTACATGAATTGTATTTTTTCCCAGAAGATAAATAGTAGATGGGCTATATGTAATGAGCTTTAAACACATCACATCTTTTAGATTATTGTACATTTTTCTCAAACAACTTCACTATTCACTCATTCTGGTATAGCTACCCATTTTGCAGTAATTCTTTTTTCTTGTATTGCAGGACTATTGGGGAGATATTTGCTGTCAGCATCACACAAGGTGGGCCACCACCAAACTTTTTTATGGAGTGGTGTTACAACTACATATCCACAGGAGAAATGGATCCAGAAGTAATAACTGAAAGGGACGTCACAGACCCTGAACTCATGGAGCTAATAAAAGAGGTAGTTTATTTAAATGTGGTGAAAGTGCATTGTGAATCATAATGTTATGTTTATGTAGTGTAAATGGTTTGTGTTCTTATCATTATTAATTCCATATCTGTTCATGATCATAAAAATAGAAATGAACTTTTTTTTATTCTTGTAAACTTCAACACTAAACTAAGGTACCTTTATATTGTATGTGTGCCTTGAGTAAATGTGGTTTTGTTCAAAGATTAAGGCAGCTGACAACACA